CATAGATGGCCTCGTTGTCTACCATGAAGGCACAATCAGAGTGCTCCAGGGTGGTATGAGTGGTGAGGATGGAATTGTAGGGCTCAACGACAGCGGTGGAAACCTGGGGGGCCGGGTAGATGGAGAACTCCAGCTTGGACTTCTTTCCATAATCAACAGAGAGCCGTTCCATCAGCAAGGAGGTGAACCCAGAGCCAGTTCCCCCACCAAAGCTGTGGAAAACCAAGAAGCCCTGAAGACCTGTGCATTGGTCAGCCTGTAGGAGGAAAAAGAAAGAGTAAAAAGATAAATTTGTGGTATTAGATCTTGTTTTGACAAATGCTTTTAAAAAAACATGTAGATGGCTGGGCATGGTTGCAGTCCCAAGACTTAGGATCCTGAGGCAGGATTGCCATGGAGTTCAAGTTCAGCCTGGGTTACAGAGAACAAGACTTTGTCTCAAAGAAAAACCAAACAAAGGGACCTGGGAATTCAGCTCAGTAGTAAAGTGTTTGAATAACATACAGAAGTATTTTGTTTAATCTCCAGAACTGGGGAAAAAAAAGGCGGGTCAGATTTTAGAATTTCTTGTCATGCCCAGCTACACTATTGCATATCAATTCTGATTTGAAAAAACCAACATTCAAAAATAGTAATTAAAAAAAACCTCAACATTTCAAATCTTTTCTTATAGTCATTACATTTACCGGAGACAAAACATACCAGCTTGCGAATCCGGTCCAAGACAAGGTCAATGATCTCCTTGCCAATGGTGTAGTGCCCACGGGCGTAGTTATTGGCAGCATCTTCCTTGCCTGTGATGAGCTGCTCAGGGTGGAAGAGCTGGCGGTAGGTACCAGTGCGAACTTCATCTGGAGAAGAACCAGCCAGCCATCATCAACAACCTCCACCATCCTGCGCAGCCCTGGGCGATCCGTGCAGCCCCCAGGACACATCTAGCCCGGCACCCTGGGAAATCCCTCGGACCACTGAGGTCAACTCACCAATGACCGTAGGTTCCAGGTCTACAAACACTGCCCTGGGCACATGCTTGCCAGCGCCCGTCTCACTGAAGAAGGTGTTGAAGGAGTCGTCTCCTCCCCCAATGGTCTTGTCACTTGGCATCTGGCCATCAGGCTGGATGCCATGTTCCAGGCAGTAGAGCTCCCAGCAGGCATTGCCGATCTGAACACCAGCCTGGCCAACGTGGATGGAGATGCACTCACGCTGTGGGAAGGGAAAAAGAAAAAGACAAAATATTAAGATGTATTTCTAATTTGTGCTTTGATACCTATGAAAGGGTTCTAATAATTCAGGTATTGTTCAAATTTGGAGTCATATATCTAATATGATAGAAATGATTAATGAAAAGCGCCAGCTACAAATACTGCAAAATGGGTGTGGCCTGGACAATAGCGGCTTAATACTACTGAGGAACTGGTGCAATCCCATTGTTCCTGAGCCATACTTGAATAAAAGAGTTTTCATATTTGAAAAATATTCCAAGCACAGAATTTGGAAAATGAAACGACTGTAACTCAATTAATTTCTTTCCCTGTTAAGTAAAGGTGGTTTTTTTATTACTAGGACCTGGTATTTCAACATGGACGTCTGTACTGCAGCCGAGGCCAGAGGCCACACCCTCTGCAGTCCATCTGCAGAATCCATCAGTACTCTGAGGTTAGAAGCTAGACAAGGTCTGACTTCTGCATCGCTCCCTTTGCTATGCCTGCTGCTGGCCGTTGCTGTCTGTCACATTATTTAACAGGGCAGGCTCTGTCTCGAGCAATTGTCTATATGATCTCATTGTGCTGCTTTGCCAGGGTCCTCCTCTAAGGCGCTACCTATATGCCTTGACTTGATAGGCATTAATGAAGATGCCCTAGAACAAAAGACAGTTGGATCCAGAGTATAAGCTTTCTTCAGAGCAATTTCATTATTTTTGAAGGTTTTCCAGACTGTTCTCCACTGTAAGAAACTGAGATATCATTAAAACAACAGCTTCTAAATTAGAAACAAAGATCACACAAGAAGCTTCAGACAATAAAAACCCAGTGAAAGGATAACTTACTTGAAACAACAAAATAGTATTTTTATTCTGCGAGTCTCTACCCAGCACATAACATACTCATACTCTTGTCCTATAGAGATAACCTTCGGTAGGCTTCAGGGCTACAGCTTCCATTGTCTAGTGGGGTGGGGGCGGGGAAGGGCGTTTCCCCGCGTTCTGACAATCCGGGTGCTCTGGGCTTCACAAAGTGGGCTTTGTCCTTCAGGAACAGCCGTGCACCCCTCCCCCCAGCGACGCGTCCCCACTGTCAAGTAAACTGTGCTTTTAATATTTCATCTAGGTTTCAAAAGCGGACGAAACATTTTGTAAACCTACTGGGTCACAACGATTAAAAAAAAGAAGAGGAGGTTTAGTGAGGGCGAACCCCGCCCAAAACGCCCCAGAAGCAAGAAGCAAACGACTCCGCCCTGCGCCTCCCTGACACCGGCTGCCACGGACTCCGAACTGATCTTTTCCCCGTTAACGTCGGCTGTTTGTCGAAAAGCCAAGCGCAGTTTCTGGCTTGGGCGCGTCCTCCCTCCCGGCCCGCGGCCTCCCCTCCCACTCCGGGCCCCGCAGCACCGTGCCGCGCCCTCCGGGACCGCGCCCGGCCTCGCCGCACAGCCCGAGCCCTGCGGGTGCTGCCGGTGCGTCCCAGCGCCTTTGTCCTCCCGGCTCCCGGGTCTGGGCGTGTTCCCAGCGGAGCTGCGCACTGCGGCGGGGCTGACAGCCTAACCCCAACAAAGCATCACGACGACCCTTATCTAGGGAGGTTAAGACGCTTCGATTTCCCACGCACGTCCAGCGAGAACGACCCGCGCTGAGAGGAGCCCGGGAAGGCAGATTCTTACCATGGTTGGTCGTTCGTGGCTACCGAGATGGCGGAGGCGAGGAGGGAAGTTGTTGCTTCTTACAGCGCGACTCTTAGGCGGTCGATGTAAGAGAACCTGCGGCACATGGGCGGATGCGGCTCCCTATATACAGCCCGGTCACCATGGGGATAGGCCGGGGCCTCTTCCTGTTGGTCCAGACCCCTCAGTCTGCCCAGAGAAGCCGCTACACGAGCGTGGTGATTGGTGCAAGCGACATGGGATGAGGTAATCTCTCCCCCACCCCTCAGTAGAGCTCCCAGCAGGCATTGCCGATCTGAACACCAGCCTGGCCAACGTGGATGGAGATGCACTCACGCTGTGGGAAGGGAAAAAGAAAAAGACAAAATATTAAGATGTATTTCTAATTTGTGCTTTGATACCTATGAAAGGGTTCTAATAATTCAGGTATTGTTCAAATTTGGAGTCATATATCTAATATGATAGAAATGATTAATGAAAAGCGCCAGCTACAAATACTGCAAAATGGGTGTGGCCTGGACAATAGCGGCTTAATACTACTGAGGAACTGGTGCAATCCCATTGTTCCTGAGCCATACTTGAATAAAAGAGTTTTCATATTTGAAAAATATTCCAAGCACAGAATTTGGAAAATGAAACGACTGTAACTCAATTAATTTCTTTCCCTGTTAAGTAAAGGTGGTTTTTTTATTACTAGGACCTGGTATTTCAACATGGACGTCTGTACTGCAGCCGAGGCCAGAGGCCACACCCTCTGCAGTCCATCTGCAGAATCCATCAGTACTCTGAGGTTAGAAGCTAGACAAGGTCTGACTTCTGCATCGCTCCCTTTGCTATGCCTGCTGCTGGCCGTTGCTGTCTGTCACATTATTTAACAGGGCAGGCTCTGTCTCGAGCAATTGTCTATATGATCTCATTGTGCTGCTTTGCCAGGGTCCTCCTCTAAGGCGCTACCTATATGCCTTGACTTGATAGGCATTAATGAAGATGCCCTAGAACAAAAGACAGTTGGATCCAGAGTATAAGCTTTCTTCAGAGCAATTTCATTATTTTTGAAGGTTTTCCAGACTGTTCTCCACTGTAAGAAACTGAGATATCATTAAAACAACAGCTTCTAAATTAGAAACAAAGATCACACAAGAAGCTTCAGACAATAAAAACCCAGTGAAAGGATAACTTACTTGAAACAACAAAATAGTATTTTTATTCTGCGAGTCTCTACCCAGCACATAACATACTCATACTCTTGTCCTATAGAGATAACCTTCGGTAGGCTTCAGGGCTACAGCTTCCATTGTCTAGTGGGGTGGGGGCGGGGAAGGGCGTTTCCCCGCGTTCTGACAATCCGGGTGCTCTGGGCTTCACAAAGTGGGCTTTGTCCTTCAGGAACAGCCGTGCACCCCTCCCCCCAGCGACGCGTCCCCACTGTCAAGTAAACTGTGCTTTTAATATTTCATCTAGGTTTCAAAAGCGGACGAAACATTTTGTAAACCTACTGGGTCACAACGATTAAAAAAAAGAAGAGGAGGTTTAGTGAGGGCGAACCCCGCCCAAAACGCCCCAGAAGCAAGAAGCAAACGACTCCGCCCTGCGCCTCCCTGACACCGGCTGCCACGGACTCCGAACTGATCTTTTCCCCGTTAACGTCGGCTGTTTGTCGAAAAGCCAAGCGCAGTTTCTGGCTTGGGCGCGTCCTCCCTCCCGGCCCGCGGCCTCCCCTCCCACTCCGGGCCCCGCAGCACCGTGCCGCGCCCTCCGGGACCGCGCCCGGCCTCGCCGCACAGCCCGAGCCCTGCGGGTGCTGCCGGTGCGTCCCAGCGCCTTTGTCCTCCCGGCTCCCGGGTCTGGGCGTGTTCCCAGCGGAGCTGCGCACTGCGGCGGGGCTGACAGCCTAACCCCAACAAAGCATCACGACGACCCTTATCTAGGGAGGTTAAGACGCTTCGATTTCCCACGCACGTCCAGCGAGAACGACCCGCGCTGAGAGGAGCCCGGGAAGGCAGATTCTTACCATGGTTGGTCGTTCGTGGCTACCGAGATGGCGGAGGCGAGGAGGGAAGTTGTTGCTTCTTACAGCGCGACTCTTAGGCGGTCGATGTAAGAGAACCTGCGGCACATGGGCGGATGCGGCTCCCTATATACAGCCCGGTCACCATGGGGATAGGCCGGGGCCTCTTCCTGTTGGTCCAGACCCCTCAGTCTGCCCAGAGAAGCCGCTACACGAGCGTGGTGATTGGTGCAAGCGACATGGGATGAGGTAATCTCTCCCCCACCCCTTTTCCCCTAGCATCCGTAGACTGCATCCTTCAGACAAAGAAGCAGCTAGCCGAGCATCCATTATGGGGTGGGGTTGGGGAGGGGAGGAAATGGAAGAAAGAACACTAGGGTTGGGTGGTTTTACGTGGCTTAAACCCTAAACTATAGTTAAAATAATCTAAGATTTTCCCAAATAATCCCAGAATTTGTGTTGTGATTATTTATGGGAAATTCCAATTTTGGATTTATATTCATACATAGAATTCAACTACATCTGGTCAGGATGCGACATCTGTAATTACTTTAAAAAGGAGAGAAAATGAGAATGATGGTAAAAATGACTTGGGTAAATGTTGATTTTTTAAAAAGTATTATTTGAGCAGGATTCAGTAACCTAGTGTTGGTAGGCCACGCCTGTAATCCAACAGGAGGCTGGAGGATCTGCAGTTCAAGGTCATCCTTACTGGGTTGGTGGCTAATGGCTGTAAATCCCAGCATTGGGGTGGCTGAGGCAGAAGGACTGCTGCTAGTTCAAGGCCAGCCTGTGGCTACATAATTGCAGATCAGTCTGGTCTGCAGTGTGAGATTCTGTCTCAAAAAGCAAAGTAGAAAAAAAAAAAAAAGTCCCCCCCAAAGAACTAATACACAAAACAGCAGTTAAGTAGTTTACTAGAGATAGTTCTTTGCCAGAAGTAAAACTTTTCCCCCTGTGATATTTTAGAAATAAGCTGTCCTTCCTAACAGAGTCAGAAAATATAAGGAGAAATAATTAAGTTTAAAAACTAGCTCTGTCTTTGTATTTCTGCTTTGCTCTTTTTTTCAGGAAAATATCCAGTGAAAAATAACTGAGCTACCAAGTTAAAATAAAGAGGAGAGTTATATAATATAAAAAGAAAACCATTTTGTAACGTTGCTTTCATCCACAGACAACTGTGCAAGGTCAGCCCAACTGTATTTCATTTTATGTAGTTTTCTGAATTCTGTAAATAGCCTCTTCTACAGTTGCCTTCTGACTGTGGGAACTGTAGCTGCCTCACACCATAGCTATTCAACCAGAGATTCTAGCTGTTGCTCAATCACCCCTTGGGACAAAAATGCTTTGCTTTCTTTCACCCCTAGGAAATGGATTGCAGTGACATTCTTTTGCTACATAGAAAGCCTCTATTCTCAGCAAGGATGGGCCAGGCGATATAGAGTAAGTCTGTGAACTCCTCCACTGAACATTGCTGGATGAAATTTCAGAGGTAAAGAGGTATTTGTTTGGGCACCAAATTGAAACATTCGGATTTTGACATAATTTTCCTTTCAGTGTTCAGTAGCAGAGCTTTAGTGTCTGTAGCACTGGTGGGTGCCGCAGAGTCCATCATTCTCACAGTGCTGGCAGGCAGGGCGTGCTATGGGAAGGAGGCAGAAGACCAGCTCCTGCAGGCTGCTGTATGAAAATGTGGTCATGAGATTTCCTCACCCACCATCCACAGCCCTGCCTGACTTGTTTAAATCTGCTGTGAAAATCTTTTTTTGAAAAAATAAAAGAAAATAAACCCAACACACAAATCATTTCTTTAGTCCTTGAATGTTTCATAGGAAAAATAGTCCACCAATCATCTTCATCATTTTAGGAAACGGAAGTATATTTTAGTAAAGAAACAGAAGGATTAAGGGTGACTTGACTGCTTCTTTCTAAACTTGTAAGTACATTTAACAAGAATAAGAATTAAATGATAGCAGGTCTGTCTCAGAGAAGCCCACACCCATGTTCTTGGGTGTGTCTTTTTGTGTCTTTTAACCCTCATGCTTAAATTTTACTTTCACATATCTTTAATAAATCCTATCTCTGCTTCATTAGAAAAAGAATTCAATGACATAGAGACCATAAGGACTAATAAATAGCTCATTGAAAATATGTCACAATTAAAAAAAAAATTATTACATTTATTTGTGTGTGTGCACAAATAATGTGTGGGTACATGTGCCACTGTGTGTGTCTGGAGGCCAGAGGACAACATACAAAAGTCAGATCTTTCCTTTTTCCATGTGGGTTCTGGGGATCAAACTCAAGTGGTTAAGGCTGGTGGTCAGTACCCTTAGCTGCTGAGCCAGCTCTCCCACTGTACAATTTTAATAATGAAAAAAGAATCATACAGGGCCAGGCCATGATGAAGTATACAAACCTTTTTGAACTGGAGAAGCATGGTGTTGAGTTTTTATTTCTTCACAATATAAAAGATTTAGAATTGTCTTCTTCCCCAATAGTCTGTTCTTTATGCATTTTACAGGGGATTAAAAAGAGAGGAGTCACGGAATTGATTCTTTGTAATTCAATCTCAGAGCCATTCTGTTCCTTATGTAAATGAGAGGCTTTTTTCTCTCCCCTTGGGCATAAGTAATAATAAGATCTAGGCCAGGGGGCTGGAGAGATGGCTCAGCGGTTAAGAGCACTGACTGCTCTTGCAGAGGACCCGGGTTCGATTCCCGGCACCCACATGGCGGCTACGAACCATCCTTAACTCCAGTTCCGGGGAATCCAAACTCTCTTCTGACCTCTGCAGCACTGCACAACATGGGTGCACTCACATACCTGCAGGCAATACACTCATACATATAAAATAAAAATAATAAAATATTTAAAAAAAGATCTAGGTCAGAAACAGACTATTTAAACACTGAAATCTTAAATATATAAATGGGAGATCAAGAGAAAAATAATCTGTTCTCTTTGCTCCCCATCTGATTTAATAGCATTCAAACTATGGAAAGGGGAAAAATGCTGTTTACTAGTTCTTATTTTACTACCAATTTCTTCAACTACATCAATATACAGGTACATATTAATACATTCTGATTCTATACACAGTAATATTAGCATAAAATATATCTGTTTCTCAACATCTGTGTGATTTCATTTGTTTGTGGGTTCAGACCTTCCCTATGCTTTCTTACATTCATAGTTTGTTCTCTCTCTCTCTCGCCTTGTCCATGCCAGGCAAGCATGGACAGCATCCGTAGTCCTACAGGATCTCTCTTAGCTCTAGATGGTCTTAGCTTTCTTAAGTATCTGATATTGAATGAATTCATTATATTTTCAAATATGTACCTCCTGAAAGGTTCTGTTGCTCAGTGTAAACCTGGATTCTGAAGACAGAAACAGGCATTGTTACTAACTGTTCTCTTGCCTGTTTTGGGCTCCATGGAATCAGACACTAAGTCATGTTGCATCTACCTGTTAAATCTTTTTTGTTTGTTCATTATTTTGAGAAAGGGCCTCTGGGCTAGCCTCAAACCTAATTTATTATGTAGCCAAGGCTGGCTTTAAATTCCTGATCCTCCTGCCTCCACCTTCTGAGGGCTAGAGTTATAGGTGTATGCCACCATATCCAGCTTTCAAATCTCATTTTTTTTTAACTTAAAACAATTTGTTTTTATGTATGGTGTGGACATGTTTGGGTATGAGGGCATGCATGCCTGTGGACATCTGTAAGAAGACAAGACAAACATAATCTAGCTTTTACATAGGTTCCAGGGATCTGAACTCTGGTGGCCAGGTTTGTGCTACAAATGCTTTTACCCTCTGAGCCATCTCCCTGGCCCACTTTTTTGGTTTTTGTGTTATGTATGTATGTATATTATATATATACATATATATATAAAATATTCGTACATGAGTATGATGTATTAGATAGTATCTATCCCCCTCTAACTCCTTCCAGACCCCTATCCTCCTCCCAACTTCATATCTTCTTTTTTTCTTTCTTTCTTTCTTTTTTTTTTTTTTTTTGGTATTTTTGAGACAGGGTCTCCCTGTAGCCACAGCTAAGCTTGGAACTTGCTATGTAGACCACGCTGGCCTCAAACTCACAGAGATCCACCTGCCTCTGCCTCCCAAGTGCTGGGATCAAATTCATTTGTGCGCCACCACGCCCAGCTAGTTTTCTCCTTTTTATAACCTGCTAAGTCCAGTTAGCGCTGTCTATATGCGCATGAGTGTAGGCCAGCCACTGGCCACGCTGCTGGAGAAGACTGCCTCCCCCTTCCTCAGTAACTCACCTGCCAAAAGCTCCTCAGTTAGGGGTGAGGCTTTGTGAGCCCCTCCTCTTTTTTGGTTTGGAGAGAGGGTCTTGCTCTGGTCCAACCTGGCCTGGAACTCACTATATAGACTAGGTTGACCTCAAACTTGTGTTGAGCCTCTTGGCTCTGATCCCAAGTATATGTGCCACCATACCAGGCTTCAAATATTACTTTTTCTTTCAGCCTTCGTTCTAGTACATCAGTTCTAGCTTGAAGTATTTTAATGTAGACGACTTCAAAGCTAGGCATGATGGCACCCTGGAGGCTGAAAAGCAAGGATCAGACGTTCAAGGTCATCATCCTCTGCTACATAATAGGTTTGGGGACTATCCTATGTAAGACCTTGTCTCAAATAGAACAAAACAAAACTCTCCATATGCTTACTCCTGTTGCCATTCAGCTAACCTCCACAGAATGACCATTGCTCTTTATATAGTACACATATATCACAGCTCATGCCATGTAATATAGATGATGTCGTTCGACTGCTTAAAGTGTACCAGGTCTGTATGGTTTAATATGATGATCCAAAATTTAATGATTTAATTTAGTTGCTTCAATTCAATTCCCCACCAAAAATCAAACAGATACTTAAAAATGTCTGAGAATTGAGTTGGGGATGTAGGTCAATTATAGAGTTCTTTTTTTTTTTTTTTGTCTTTTTTTTTTTGAGGCAGGGTCTCCTTGTAGTCCCAGCTGTCCTGGAACTCACTATGTAGAAAAACACTCATAAAAATATAAATTAAAAAAAGTTTCTTAAAAAGAAAACAAAACACAAAAAAACTGAAAGTACACATTTATTTTTAATTTTTTTAATTTTTTTTTTTGCCTAGAACTTACTACGTAGATCATGCTGGCCTCAATCTCATAAAGATCCACTCACCTCTGCCTCCTGAGTGCTGGGACTAAAGGTGTGTACCACCATGGCCTATTTTTAAAATATTTATTTATTTTATGAGTGTTTTGCCTGTATGTATGTAAATGCAGCACATGTGTGCAGTGCCCTTAGAGGCCAGAATAGGTAGCTGAATCCCCTGGAACTGAAGCTATGGGCCATTCTTAGTTGCTATGTGGGTGGCGGAAGCAAACCCGGGTCCTCTGCAAGAGCTGCCAGTGCTCTTAACTGCTGAGCCGTGTCTCCAGCCTGATTCTCATTATTTTAATTTGTATGTGTGTGTGTGTGTCTTTCTGTCTGTGTGTATCTGTGTGTCTGTGCATGCCCATGTGCTTATACATGTGCTATAGTGTACATGTGGAGGTCAGGGGACAACCTCAGGTGCTGGTCCTCACCTTATCCCTGTGAGACAGGATGTCTCCTGTTCACCACAACTGCTCCCAGCATTACACGGTTTCTGGGTATCCAAACCCAGGTCCTCATGCTTGCACAGCAAGCACTTTATCCACGGAGTTATCTCCTTAGGCCAATTATGTTTGAAATGGGGTTTTATGTCTTCCAAACTTGCTGTGTAGTGGAAGATGACCTTGAACTTGTGATTCTCTTGCTTCTATACCCCAAGTGCCAGGATAATAAGTGTGCAGACATAATGCCTGTTTTTGTGTGGTGCTGGGAATTGAACCCAAAGCTTCATGCATGCAAGGCAAGTATTCAGTCGACAGAGCTACATCCCTAGCCGCACACACTGATTTTATTTTTTGGTCTTTTAAAAAAAAATTTCTTGATTATTTTTATTTTATGTGTATGAGTGTATTGCCTGCATGTGTGTAAGTGCACCTGTGTTGTGCAGTGCCCATGGAGGTCAGAAGAAGGCGTTGGATTCCCCTGGAACTGGAGTTACAGACAGTTGTTGGTTGTTAGCCACCATGTGGGTGCTGGGAATCAAACCTGGGTCCGCTGTAAAAGCAGTCAGTGCTCTTAACCACTGAGCCATCTCTCCAGCCCTTTTTTTTGGTCTTTTTGAGACAGGGTCTCCCTGTAGCCCCAGCTGGCCTGGAACTCACGATGTAGACCAGGCTGGCCTTGAACTCAGAGTTCTGCCTGCCTCTGCCTCCTGAGTGCTAGGATTATGTGGTAATTAAAAACCCAAACCCTAAAACTTACTGTGCTGGGTAGCTTTAGTGTCAACTTGACACACCTGGGTTGAGGGAACCTCAATTGGGGAATTTCCTCTATTGGACTGGCCTGTG